TCGCTGACTTGGAATTCTGACTCGGAATTGTTAAAGTAATACATTGTAATGATTCTCTGGATTTGCTAATTTTTTGAATCACAGTTTTTGGATCTGTTTGCATGCATGACAATTCTAATTCAGCTTTCGCTCTCTGTAATTTAATTTGTTCTATCTGTAAATCTAATTGTTCATTTTTCTAGATTGTCTCTACTTTCCATTCCTCAATTACCCTCTCTACGAGATTAGATGCAAATTCAGGTTCAATTTTTTTTACTTGTAGTCTTTGTAATATTAATCTCATTTGTAATCATCATTCTATCTGTTACTACCTATCTTAACTCTGCAGCAGCAAAGCAACTTTTCTCATGCTTTTAAACATTTTGAAAACAAAACAATCACAAAACTAAACACAACTAACTCTTAATTCACTAAAAAGTAATACAGTCAAAAGTCGTTAATTTGGACACCCATAATCTGGAATGATCTATAATCCAGACTTCAAAGCTGCAAACTTTCTGTGCATGCGTCGCGTTGATGAATGCGCGTAAGACCTTTACGGATGCGAATATGCGTGTGCGCATGCGCATAATACGTTTACGCATGCTCGTTTAATGTATAACAGACGGTATAAGCTAAGCTAAAATGATCTAATTCCATTAATATTGCAGATTGCGTTGTTCCTTAATCTTCGAATTGGATCCAGCTTATTATTTTTTGCAGACTGTTAGAGCAATTTTATAAAAGTAAGCTTGAACTTTTGATTATGTCAAATAGAATTTCTGATATATATTTACTAATATGTAAAGGATCTACAAAGTGAAAGTATGTTTCGAAGTCCATTAAACAAAAGTGGAATTGCTGCAAAAAATGACCTTGGGGGGGGGGACACCGCCACACACAATGAATTGGAAGTTGATCTGTCAGAACTATCCTTATCTTCAGGGCAGATGTTTACAATGCCGCCGTGCGCAATGAATTGGAAGTTGATCTGTCAGCACTATCCTTATCTTCAGGGCAGATGTTTCCATTTTATTTGGCTTATATGTAGTATTTCATCTTGATGTATTCCGTCTTTGATATGATTTAAATCAAATTCCTCATCATTATAATTTGCTTCCGATAGTGAAGAAAGTGACACAGAGGTTATTGAAAACGAATAAATTTCGACTGACAAATTAGTCGGTATTCTCGACACAGCAATTATAGGACTTGAACAGCGGAACTTTGTAACAAGAAATTATGTCTGTTTATAGAATTAAAGAGAAAGTATTATCACATAAAAAACGAAGCACTCAAACAACTTACATTGAAAGAAATGTTTAATAAAGTAAACAAATAAATATTAAGCTTTTTTTTTGTAAATTTTGATACCCTTAGATCATAATTGTTCTTTATTTCATAAATTATGGTTTCATATTTTTAATTTTATAATTTCTGCATGCCATCTTACCAGATTTAAACTGATGATCTATAATCCGGAATCGCCGAAGTCCCCGACGAGTCCGGATTAACGACTTTTGACTGTATAAACTCTTTGCCACCCCCCCAAAAAAGAGTTGCTCTTTTTTTTGCCTACTTTTAAACCTAATTGCATATTCAGAACTGCAATTTTTTTGTTATTACTCTTTTTCAATTAGTAATTATTTTATATTATATATAATTATTGAGAACAGTTTACATTTTGGTACACATCGTTGTGTAGCACATAAAAAAAAAAACGAAGGTTGAATTTTCACATTTCATAATTATTCATAGTGTGCTAAATAACTCCTCGCGATGACATGGACAAGGTTACTTACTTTCATTTTAAAAACACTCACAACATTTTTTTAAACTTAAAATTCTACCAATTTTTAAAATCCAAAATCTTAAATAAAAGATGCTTGCGACTTCCACGGCAACTTAACCTTTTTCTTCTTCTTGCTAGCTGGCGCTGATACAGTAGTGCTTATAATTAGGTACAGAATAGAGTCATTCACAGTTATACTTTCAAAATAGCAAATGACTAGTATTTATAAGCATATGATCATTGGCAAAAGTAATCAAAGTTCTTCAATGTTCAATATACAATTTTCATCAATTTCCAAAAATCTTAATATCATACAGGATTTTGTACATGTTCAAAGCAATTTTTCTATGGTAGTTGGTACTAGAATAGAAAAGCTATGCCGAGACTTGATTAACACATGATTTACTAACAATAGACTTCACGATCTCTTTCAGTTCCTGGATTTCTCATCCAAACTTCTCTAAATTTCTGACTGAATATTTATTTGAGAAATTTATTTCTAAAGGGTAACTGTAAATATTTCTACTTGCAAGTGATTTTAAAGTATTTGGCATTATATTCTTAAAGATTTCTAAGCTCATTATGGCAAAAAGAATGACTCCCTATGAATTGGAGATGCAATGGCTGTGAGATTTATTAAAAATATTTGAAAGTGGTGAAGATCGCGTTTCAGAAACTGAAGATGAAAATAGAAATATTTTCTGCACTGTTTGGTTTCAAAAAAGATAAAACATTAATTTCTTATGTTCCTAAAAAAGAAAAAACTGTTCTTATGCTTTCAACATTATATAATGATCATACTACAGATGACACTACTGGAGAAAATAAAACATCAAAATTATATGTTTTTATATGACTAAAGGAGCAGTGGATATGGGGGGTGAAATGTCAAAATGTCAGTAAATTATTCAATTGTCAGAATAATAAGGAAGTGGCCAATGTTAATTTTTTTTTCTGCACTGAATGTTGCTGCAATAAATGCTTCAGTTATATTACATTCAACTGCTAATCCATCAACCAGAAACAGAAGCAAAGGTCTGTTTTTGAGGGACTTAGTATTACAATTTACAAAAAAGTATTGAATGAAGATCGGAGATTAATACTTTACCGAGAAACGAACGTACTGCATGCAAACCAAGAGCACAAGTTTCGACAAATAATTCAGACAAATATATGAAATTCGAAAGAACTAATTATAAAAGATGTGATGAATGCTCTCGAGCCAAGGACAGAAGAACGTGAATGCGATGTTTAAAATGTGAAAACTTTCTGTGCGATGAACACATGAATGTATTTCGTTCAAAGTGTAAAAAAATAAAATAAGCATTGTGTATTAGAGATGCAATAAAACTTGGAAGCATAATGTTTATTTTGTTATTATTTTCATTTATCTTAATTTTAACTCTAAGATTATTTTGGAAATTAATTGTTTGAAGCCCAATTATTATTCACGTATTTATAACACACGAAAACAAGAAAAGCAGCTTTAAAACTAAATAAAATTATTTTTATCGTATTTTAAATATTGGGATAGGTGATACCCCACGCGCCTACTATAGTAACTTTTCTTGATGCGACTTCCACCAGGTTAATTGAGATTTTATGAGCATAATAAGGAAATATTGTAGAATCTTGGATTATGAGTGCCTCTCATTGCAAACAAATTAGTTCCCATCTGGATAAGAAATATTTCAGGTGATAAATGGTATTTTGAGCTATACTAATTTCAATTGGAAACAAATGATTTTCAAGTGTTTTGAAAATGATCTCTGAGATAGAATTAATGCCTAGGGACTTTCAAAACATCACTGTTATGTTTCCCATTGTTAAGTTCCCTTAACAAAACTAGACAGCAAGTGATTTATAGAACTATAAATTCAGCCTAGCCAAAATTCTGGGCAGATTATAATGCAGGTAGACAGCTTTAATGCTGACGACTTTTTGCTATCTATGGTACTGTGTTATCTATGATATTTATGATATTTTGTTATCTATGATAAGGCAAAGCCATGGATTTGGAAGTTAACAATGGAGTTACTCAAGGAGTTACTAAATAGCCATAAAAATGAACTAAAAAAAGAAAGAATTGCAATGGCTTCAGAAACAGTACAGGAAATATATCCTAGTTCTTTTATCCATGAAACATGTGCAAATTGAAGTACGATGCAAAGTCTGATGTAATATTAGTCTGATAATGAAACGGAAAGCTATGGTATAAGCATTTTAATGATAGTGTCATGTTTCACTTTAGAAACATATTAAAATATACACAGCAACATATTACACAGGATAAATTTTGTAAAAGAGAGCTCTAAAGTAGAGTGGAGCTAAGAGATAATAATAATAATAATAAAAAAGATGTTTCAGAAAGACAATCACCCAATTTTTTTATAGAAGTGAATTCTTCATTCAAACAATACATTTTCTCTTCCTCATCACTTTCCACTTACGGCATCTGCTCTCCTTCATATGGATACAATATAATTATGTCTTCATCTTTTTATTTCCTATTAAACACCGTGCTTCTCTTTTCATCTTAGAGTTACTGACTACAATCACTTTTATTTTATGAATCTGAGTACAATGTACTGTTGTAGATTTTAAACAAGTACTTAAATATTGCCTAGGTATGGATTAATCCATTTCACATTAATTCCTATGGAGAAACTCTTTGGTTTATGTACATTTTGGATGAAAGCTTTCAGGAATGAATTATTCATGAATCAAGGTTCACTGTAAATGAGTTAGGTTCTACAGCAAGTTTCATATATTTTTTAAACGTCAAACTAATCCTTGAAAATAGAAACAAAATAATTTCAATTGGTAGGTAAAAACATCAAGAATTCTCAGTTAAAAGGTTTTGAAAAGTCCATGTCACTATAGGAATCAATAATGTATTATGATTTTAGTTGTTCTGAAATCAGAGTGAGCATGCTTCCTCCTCCCCAAGTTTTTAACACAGCTATCAATGTACCACACTTTACTAGACTCATAATGAAAAAAATTATACATTGCAAACTGCAATTTATATGAAGTTATCAAACATACACAAAATGAGAAGAAATAATTACAATTACACAAATATTTGAAAAATATAACATTATATATTAATTTTTTAACATCATATATGTAATATAACATTTCGAAAAGCTAAATAAGGGTATGAAATGTTCAACTAACAGAATTAACAAAGTATGTAGTGCTTATACAGAGCAGAAATTATACTTACCAGGGCATGAATTTGAAAAATTATCTGCAGCTACAACATCATAACCACTTTTAAGAAGTTCCAAAATAGAATGACTCCCAACATAGCCAGCTCCTCCTGTAACAAAGATACTTGAACCATCGGAACCTATAAGAAAATGTTTGTTAGTAATGTTTTTAACTTATACAGTTATTGCAGGGATGCAAATATATATACAGTAAACACTAAAAAAAGTTTGCAAAGAAAACAATTAAAATAATAATTATGCAGTACAAAGTCTAAAATCCAGACTGATCATAAACACCCATAAAAACCCACAATAATGATTTTCTTCCCTCCCCCCCTTTTTTTTTTTGAAATTTTTTTTCTTACACAAGAAATGGAAAATTTGATATTCAAGAAAAAACAAGCAGGCTGTAAATTGATTTTTCTTCTAATTAGCTGAAGTTTCTTTTACTGAGAAACATCATTACCTGGGATAATATTGAATCACACTGGTTTTATTTCGCCTTTAACCTGCTGGCTAGCGAACCACATTTCTGGCCTTCAAGTGATTGTAGTGAAAAGCATTCTGTCTTAGCTAGCTCTGTTGTAAAATTATAATGTTAAACTTACCAGTTGTTATGGTCTTGATTTGTACCATAAATTCTTTCTGTATTCATCACCAAAAAGCAAATTGGTTTTAGATATTCTAGGCTGTTCAAAAAGTATGAAACCCAATTTTTTATTTTTCTCTGCATAAACGAATAAAGTGCAGATTTTCTTCAGTGTAGATACATAGGGGACATGCATGCCCATGCACAAATTTTTTTCTGCCCATGGTAAGCATCAGCTGCTGGCAGTCAGCCGATGAGTGAATACATGTAGTGAGTGTTTGTCGAATTTCAATGTTTGTGGAATGGTTGGTAAATGACTGAAAAACTGAATAGCCATATTGTACCAAATTTTTCTAAAAGCTTGGTGAAAACCAAAGCATAAACCATTTACAAGATTCAGCAAGCTTTTGGAGATGATACCATGAGCACCTCTTGCATCTAGGAGTTTTAAAGATAGCAACCGTTTTAAAGATAGCTGCACATCAGTGGACAGTGAACCATGTTCAGGTAGGCCCTCAACAAACCAGAATGGCAATGTCGTTGAGCAAGTGTAGACTCTGCTCTTGCAGGATTGTTGTATTACAGTCCAAGAAATTGAGAATGAAACAAAGGTAAGCATTGGATCTGCACTTTCAATTTTGCACAAGGATTTGGGTATGAGGAGACTGTCTGCAAAATGTGTACTGAAGGTGTCTGGACATTGCACATGACATACTGGACAATGGAAACAGTGACCCCAATTTTCTGAACACCGCATCTGATTGGACTATTTTTTATTATTCTTATTTTTTTTTTAACCTCAAACTAAGCGGGGAAATTCCCTTTTCACTCAGCTATGTATGCAGTTATTAGAGTAATGTAATGTTTTTCAGCTTGTGTGAGATATCCATATTAAATCTTTATATTAATAATCCCTGCTGTGATTATTTAATTTGTAACCTGCACGTTGTAGCCCTGAGAGTTGCAACATAGTAAATTTGGCGTCCGCTACTTTATATTTTTGAAGAAATATGGATATAAAAGTTTTGAAAGCAAAACGGAAGTCGCTGAGAACAGCTTTTACGGTATGCTGCAACGATATAGCTCACAAAACAAACAGTTTTCACAAAAACAAAAGTTTAGGATAAGTGACGAAATCAGTACGTTGTTTCGGCAGAAACTGCTTCTTGAGTTGTTTCCAAATTCACACATTTGGAAACAACTCAAGAAGCAAGTTTCGAATTTGTTGCTAAGTGATGATACCCTTCAAGATGAATATTCTGAAGGATTTTTTGAAAGCAGAAGAATACAGACAAGTGAAACAAGTTCTGCTTGATTTTTTCGCTTGTTAGAAAATGCAAAGAAGGAAGGGAAATTCGGTTACAGATGGAACAACAACCGAGCAAAAAAGGAAATTCAAGCTTCCGAAACTTGAACTGAGGAAATTTAGTGGAGAACCGAAAGACTTTCTTGCTTTTTGGTCCCAGTTTGGGAAAATCCACATTGATAACTTTATTGCGGACGAAGACAAATTTCAATATCTTTTACAATGTGTGGTAGCAGATTCTAAAGCTTCAAGACTGGTAACCAGTTTTCCGACAACTAAAGAAAACTATTCAAAGGTCATCGCACAACTTAAAGACCGCTTCAGGAGAGATGAACTTTTGGTTCAGATTTATGCACGGGATCTACTTTCCATAGTAATGAAAAATGCTGCTGGTAGAATTAAAGTAGCTTTAGCTGAACTTTATGATTTACTTGAGAGCAAGCTTATGGCACTGGAAAGTCTCGGTAGAACTAAGGAAAAATTTGCAGAATTTTTGGAACCATTTGTTGAGTCCTGTTTACTAGAGACTGTTCTTCGTGCATGGGAAAGAAGCCACTCGATGGAAGAAACTGCGTCACAGCAAGGTAGTGCGCGTTCATTGGATAAACTTTTGTGCTTTCTTCGAAATGAAGTGCAAAGTGAGGAAATGATTAAGCTCGCTCATACCGGGTGGGGAGCTTCACGTTCTGCACATTTGCATCCACATTGTGATGATCCGGGTTGCTCTACAGCTGCTGCCTTGGTAAATGTTCAAGACAATACAGGTAGGTGAAATTTACATTGTATTTTTTGTGAGAAATCCCACAATACTGCCGAATGTTTTTCTGCTCACAAAATGTCTTTAGAAGATAAACGAAAGCTTTTGGTGCAAAAGCGTGCCTGTTTTCGCTGCCTACGATTTGGACATAGTTCACGGGCATGCAAAAATAAAGTAAAATGTTTAACATGTGCTAAATTTCACTATACCATTATGCGCTCAAATGGCGAACCTGTAAAGCCAAATGAAACTGACAGTACTGTTATTGCAAGTAATGTGTTGTCTATTCAGTCAACTGTTCATGAAAATGTGTATTTGCAAACACTTGTTTTAAAAATAGTTTTGGAGGGTAGACAACTTACAGTTCATACGATTTTGGACAGTGGTTCTCAGAAATCTTATCTTTCAGAAAGGGTTATCGCATTTTTGCAACTGCGTCCTAAATTGAAACAAACCTTTATACACGGTTTGTTTGGGGGGGAGAGAGACACGTCCTCATTCCCATTTAGAGTTGATGTTAATTTAAGAAATTTTGAGGGCACTTATGACCATAACTTTGAAGTACTTTCTCAGAACAAAATATGTGGATGTGCTCCAAAAGTAGTTGATCCCAATACCCTAAAAGAATTAAAAGAAAGAAATATTACCTTGTCTGATTTGCAAGCTAAAGAATATAACATTGAATTGCTTTTAGGAGCAGATGCCATCGAGGACATTATTACTGGCAGTTCTCCGAAACTGAACTCTGGTGTAACTGTAGTTGAGACTAAATTCGGATACACTGTGATTGGTAAAGTAAACAGCTTATCTAAAGAACCTACTTCAGCTACTATTCCAGCATTACTACAAAATAATTTGTGCAATAATGTAGTTTCGTTGCATTGTGCTAATCTTAGCGTAACCGAACTCTGGAATTTAGATGCCATTGGCATAACAGATCCAACTGAAGATGTTAAACGTAAACTTGCTCACTCTGACACCGTTAAGCAATTTAAAGAGAATTTAAATGTTCTTCCTGATGGTCGATATGAATTGCCACTACCCTTTAAATCTGAAATTCTGCTACCTAGCAATAAGTCTATGACTTTTAAAAGGCATCAGAGAATGTGTCAACAAATTAATGAGGAGGAAAATCAGTTAGATGACTATAAGGTAGTTTTTAAGCAATGGGAAGACCTCAAAGTAATAGGAAAGGTTCCTGAAACTGAAATTGATTATTTGAGTTATTATTTGCCCCATAGACCTGTTATAAAGCATACTAGTGAGATAATGAAGGTAAGGCCGGTGTTCGACGCTTCAGTATGAGAGAGAAATCAGCCATCCCTTAATGATTGTTTAAATAGAGGGGCGAACTTAATTGAACACATACCTGATATAATTGGGCTGTTCGTGACATTCCTCACATGCCGTAGTGTGTTGTCGCTCTGGCGGCAATTCCAAGGTAAATAATATGTACACACACCTGATATAATTGACAGGTTTAGATTGTATTCTGTTGGTTTATCATCAGATATAGAGAAAGCGTTTCTTCAGCTGAGTATCATCCCAGAACATAGAGATTATTTGAGGTTTTTTCTTCCAACTCTTGAAGAACCTATGATTTACAGACACTGCAGAGTGGTGTTCGACGTTTGTTCGTCTCCGTTCCAACTCTCTGCATCTCTTGGATAATTCCCCTGCCGAGTATGACGACGTGACCCAAAAATTAAAGCATTCGTTCTATGTTGACAATTGTGTAACTGGGGTTCACGATATCAAACAGCAAGAAAATTTTATAGTTAAGGCGACAGAAGTGATGGCTCGAGGATGTTTTAACCTATGGGGTTGGGAAAGTAACATTCCTTGTCATTGTATTTCCCGTAGTTCAGGTATAACTTCTCTTCTTGGAATCTTATGGGATTTGGATAAAGATACATTAAAATGTAATCTGAATTATTCAATGGATAATGAGATAAGTAAACGTAATATTTTGGCTATGGTACATAAAATTTTTGATCCGCAGGGTTTTTTGAGTCCAACTACCTCGTTACCTAAGTTACTATTACAGGAAGCTTGGACTATGAAATTAAAATGGGATGACCCCCTGCCAGATAACATTCAGAAAACTTTTCAGAAGTGGCAGGATGAAATTAAATATTTTGAGAAAATTAGTATTCCACAATATGTAGAGATAAATGAGAATTCAGAGCTGCATCTATTCGTTGATGCTTGTAAGAGCTCCTAGGGTGCATGCGTTTACATTAGAACTGTAACGCCCGTGGGAGTCGAAATTCGATTGATCAGAGCCAAATCCAGGGTAGCGCCGTAAAATCTCTGACAATACCCCATTATAATTGATGGTCTATTGCATTGGCGCGAGACTGGTTCACTCAGTATACTCCGCCTTAGAATTTGCCCTGATTTGAAAATTATTGCATGGAGTGATTCTATGGTTAGCACTCTAGTGGATTAAGAAACCGTGGTAATTGGTCAGTGTTAGTTGCGAATA